TATATATATATATATATATATATATACACAGAGAGACACTTTGATCGCCATGGAAATGCTTACGAGTGGCTTAATTCCTAATCATAAATTGATATGGGCCAAATGAATGTATCTTAACTGAAAACTAGAGAAATCATTGAAAGAACATGAGCCATAATCAATTGATAGAAGATCAGAAGAAGAAAAGGATGCATGTTACCTTAAATATAGAATGAGAAAAGGCATGAACATATTTGTTTCAATTTTAAAATTAAAAATTACAAGAAAGTAAGAGGTAAGTGGATGTAGGATTCATGATTCTGATTGAAAGAGATGGATGGAGCGTAGAGCAAATTAAATATGAAACCAGTTTCTTTATAATTAAAATGGGCATGCATGCATATGCATATGCATATGAATTCAGGAAGCTAATAATAAGGATGTCAACTCTATTGTCTGGGTGCTAATCAATGGCACCTGAAAACTTTGGTAAAAGTAATTGAATCAGATCATTTTTTGCTGCATTGTTTCTTAATTTCATCCACAATCATATATATATATATATATACACATATTAGATTACAAACCGTCTAATTCGTGAAAACTATGCAAACCACTCTCGACCAATAGGAAATTTCCATTTTTTATTCTTTAATTTTAATAAGGGTATAATTGTCATTTTACTGTATAATGGTTGATATTGGAAATGATTTAATTATTTTTAAATATGAAAATATAAATATAAAAACCGTTTATATGGAAGGTGTAAATCAATTGTTTTTAAATATAATATTGGGAATGATTTAATTATTTTTAAATATGGAAACGTTAATATAGAAAATGTATATACGAAAGGTGTAAATCAATTGTTTTTAAATATAAAACGGTGAAACAGTGAAATAGTTGCATATAATGAAGAAGACGGATTAATACAGTTTCATAATGTGAAACAAATTCACACATGTAAATAAATACTGTGAAATAGATTCATATAATGAAGAAATGCACGTTCATCAGCTAGTTAATAAAAATACAAATTAATACAGTGATAAAATAATGTTTTTCATACAGTGAAATAGTTGCATATAGTGATGAAATATAGTTTCATTCAGTGAAATAGTTGCATACAGTAAAGAAGACAGTGATGAAATACAGTTTCATCCAGTGAAACAGATTCATACGGATGATTTGCTAATTTTACCCTTTTTTAATCAAAAATTATTTTTTTTAATTTCCTAATATAACACTATTTAATCTTGATCATTGATCAAGAAAATGAATGGATTAGATTGGTTTGTAGGATTTTCACAAATGATGGTGGTTTGCAATTGATCGCTCATCTATAAAGAAAACAAATAATAAACATTATATACAAAAACAAATAAAAGAAAAAGAAAGA